CTTGTCCACCTGTTCCAAATCACTCATAACCATTGGATAAGTCTTAAGATTCTCAAATCTTGAGATCCAATGGTTGTGAGTTATCCAATGGTTATGAGTGATTTGGGACGGGAGGACAAGAATATGGGGACAGAGGATCCTTGCTCCTCTTAGAAGGAAAATACTATTCAAACTAATAAATTTTACAAAATTTTGTTACTAATATATGTCATGCAATAGAGAATTTTAAATATTAAAAAGGCCACATTAGTGAGCATTTTTTTTTTATGGGATATACTGATTATTTTATTGAAGCGATGGTATTAATGTCCCAATATTTTCTTTTTGTTTGCAATTTGACTAGTTTAAATTAATTTTGTCAATGTAACTGGAAATATGTGAAACTTGTAAATTTTTAATGTTGATGGCTTGTGTGAAGCTAAAAATATAACATAACATGACATTAATGATAACTTGCTAAATGATTTCACTTATTGGAATACCTGACAATGCGACTGCCCTCTCTCTCAATGATTGTGCAATGATGCAATAGCAATTAGCATTCTAATGGATATTATTCTAGTAACCGGTGAGTATGTGTCAAAGTAATCAAGACCTTCCGTTTGTCTAAAACCTTTGACCACAAGTCTTGCATTGTATTTGTCAATTCATCCATCCGCTTTCATTTTTCTTTTGAAAATCCACTTATATCCAAGAGGTTTACACCCTCGTGGTAAATCCACCAATTCCCAAATATGATTTTGTAGGATGGATTCAACTTCGTTGCTTACAACTTCTTTCCATAAAGGAGCTTTAGGACTGGACATAGTTTCTTTGAAAGTTAAAGGCTCATTTTCTAACAAAAAAGTTAGAAAATCTGGACAAAAAGATTTTGAGGTTCTAGCACGTTTACTATGCCTAGGTTCGTCTTCTTCATTTTGATCTATCTATTGCTCTTGTTCTTGATCTTGTTTTTTATCATAACTAGTAATAGCATCAAAAGATCTTTTGTTAGTACTTGTCTTTTGTCCAGTCTTGTTTGGAAATATATGTTCAAGGAACGATGCATTCCGAGATTCAATAATAGAATTTATATGCATTTCGGAATGTTTTGACTTATGAATCAAAAGCCAATATTCATTACTATTCTTGGCATAACCAATGAATATGCAGCCAACTGTTTTAGGTCCTATCTTAGTCTTTTAGGACTAGGAATAGCCACTTTAGCCAAACACCCCCACACTTTTAAGTATTTGTAGGATGATACTTTTCCATGCCATAATTTATAAGGTGTTTGATTCACTTTCTTTCGGGGTACTTCATTTAAAATATAATTAGCAGAAAGTATTCTTCCCCCCACAAGTTCTAAGGCAATCCAGAACTTATTAACATGGCATTCACCACTTCTTTTAAAGTCCTATTTTTCCTTTCAGCAATTTCATTTTGCTGAGGTGAGTAAAGAGTGGTGGTTTGATGAATTATTCCATGTTGTTTACAAAATTCACCAAAAGGTGATTCATATTCACCACCTCTATCACTTCTTAGTTTTTTTAATTTTCTTACCAAGTTCATTTTCAACTTCATTCTTATATTGAATGAAAGTTTTCAAAGTTTCACCCTTTGTTCAAATTAAATAAACATAACTATATCTAGTATAGTCATCTATAAAAGTGATGAAATATTTTTTCTCACCTCTAGTTTGAATTGATTTAAAATCACAAATATCACTATGAACTAATTCAAGTGGCTCCGCACTTTGTTCAATTGAATGAAAATGAATTTTAGTTAATTTTGCCTAATGCAAATTTCACATTTATGATTTAAATCAATGTCAAATTTAAGTAAACATTCCATATTAATTAATTTACGCAAAGAACCATAATTAACATGTCTAAGTTTACCATGCCATAAATTTGAAGACTCAAGCAAATAAGAAGAATATGTATTATTATTAATAACCGAGGGTACAATAGTCATTACATTCATTTTTTAAAAGGCCATCAGACATGTAACATTTTCCTACATACATCCAATTTTTGGTAAGTACAAACTTGTCACTTTCAAAAACTAGCCTAAACCCATTTTTACTTAACAAAGATCCTGAAACAAGGTTCTTGCGAATGTCCGGTACATGCAACACATTGTTGAGAGTGAGTTCCTTTCCATATGTCATCTTCAGAATAATCTTTCCTTGTCCTTTAACTTTTTAAAAATCGAGGAGTTCTCCATAAAAAGTTGTTCACCATTGTCCACCACTGAATAAGATGTGAACATCTTTTTGTCGGCATAGATGTTGCAAGTAGCACCAGTGTCCACACACAATTCTTTAGGATTTCCGACAAGGTTTGCCTCGAAAGCAACTGCAGAAAGATTTATGTCATTAACACCATTGGAAATTTCATCCACTCCGGTCATGTTGGCTTGAGCAAGCTTCTTGCTTGTTCTTCTTTTTCTTTTGCCTTTGCCTTTGCTACGGTAATCTTTGGCTCGATGTCCCTTTCTGTCACAGATGTAACATTTGCCATTAAACTTGTACTTTTTTGTTTCCCCCTCCCCCCTTTAGAGCCTTATGAAGAACTTTCTCCAGAAAACTTCCGTTTCTTTGCTTCCGAAGCATGTTCCACCGCATTTTCCTTAGGCTCCATTGGATGCTTACCAGCCCACTTTTCAGAATTGCAGTTGTCCTGTTCAATCCTCAAACATACAATCAATTCTTCCAAAGTCATTTCTTTGCACTTGTGTTTGAGGTAGTTCTTGAATTCCTTCCAGCCTGGTGGTAATTTTTCAATTAAGGCAGCAACTTGGAAGGATTGACTGAGACACATGCCTTCTGCATGAATGTTATGCATAATGAGTTAGAGATCTTGAACTTGGCTAATCACAATCTTATAATCAACCATCACAAAGCCTAGGAATTTCCCAACCTCTTTGAGCCAGCATCATCTATTTTGTAATTTTTCTCCAAAGACTTCCAAAGTTCCTGTGTTGTCTTGATAGGACTGTAGACGTTGTATAATGTGTTGTCAAGTCTGTTCAAGATGTAGTTTCGGCAAAGGAAATCAGTATGTTTCCAGGCATCAACCGCAGCAACCACTTGCCGGTCTGTTTCATCCTCTTTCAGAGTAGGAGCATCCTTACAAAGAAAGCGAGTCAGGTTCAGAGTTGTAAGATAGAATAGCATTTTCTGTTGCCATCTTTTAAAATCAGTTCCTAGAACTTCTCTAGCTTCTCATCATGATTGACTGGCACAGTCACAATAGGATGAGGGGTTGGCGCAATTATAGCCACCATACTCGTACTTGTTTGAATATTACTTTGTCTAGTTTCAGTAGCCATGAATTCTAAATTATAAAACAAAATTATAATTAAAATTTTATACTACACATAAAATTAAACCATAAACACGGAATTTTAAACTCTATAAAATAAAAGAAACAAGAATTGTAACTTTTATTTTCAATTAATTTGCAAATAAAAAATTATTTAAACAAATTAATTCCACACGGAAAAATATTTCTGTAACACTTCAAAAATTAAAATACTAAAAAAAGAATTTTAATTAATGAAAACTTAGAAATTATTTCTTAAAACCAAAATTAATTTGTGACAAACTTCACAAATAAATATTCTGAATTGTTAATGACACCAGCATATTACTACTAGTTGTCAAAGAAAATAAGCAGTATATTACTACTATTTGTTTTTCCAACCGGAATATTATTTTATAAAATCACATAAAATAATTTTTATAAGAAGAAGAAAGAAGAAAGGAAACAAACGAAAAATTCTATTTAAATAGAATAATTTGAATCTGTCTTAAAATTGTTAGAACAACCTTTTGTGTAAAATAAATAACTTGAAACAAATTAAACAAATAAAATAAATTACTTACATAATTTGTTTTACTGAAATGTAAAAGTACAAAAAGATCAAGTCGAGTATGTGACACTATATCCTTAAGACAGATTCGCCCCGCTACGATGCTTACGGACAAATGGCGTCTGTCTCTCAGGATACAATGATCTTCACAAATTGTAGTTGCACTCCAAATAATTTGTACGACAAACAAAACCTGTGTTCTATACTCTCTGAATTTTTCTCTAAAACTAATATAAAGAATAATAATGCAAGAGAGCAAAATGAAGGCAAGAAAATCAATTTTTTGGAATGACCAAATGCTGAAAAACTTCTAGTATTTATAGGTAAAAAAGTGGCTGTCCGAACAGGTACAAAAGGAATTAACAGATCTGAATTTGAATGAACAAGTGCAGTTTCTATTTGAATAGATAATTGCTGGGCAGTTTCTATCTGTTGGAAACTGCTGGCAGTTTTGAATTTGTTATGGTCAGAACAAAATTTGTCTGGTGACTGTTTAATTTGTTGGCACAACTATTTGGACAAAAAAATTGAATTAATTTCATTTTGAAACCCAAATAATTTCTGGCAAGAATTTGAAAAACAAATTCAAATAATTTTTTTCCAAAAAATTAATGTTAGAACCAACCCGACCCACAACCTACACCCATGCCCGGTACGGCCAGACGACAGCATGCGTGCATGCGTGGTTTAAGCCAATGTTCAATTTGTTCATAACTCCTTCCTTCTACAAACTTAGGGTGTCCCTTGGAGCCCAACCCAAGTGTAGCCACCTAAAATTTATATACACACATCAGTTCTCTTAAGATTCCAATATGGGACAAGCCTTACAAGGAAACCCACATATTATTTTTTTATTTGTCCATTCCACAAACCCGAAAAAAACATCAACTTCCCATTCACTCATAAATAGTTTTGATGAACCGTGTTCACTGTGTGACTTACTATGTGGCAAGGAATACGTCACATCTTCGAACCCACCTCAAAAGACATGTTGGCCCCAACCAAATTTGGACTCAAAATTGGCCCAAAATAATCCTATAAAAACCAAATTTTCCAACATAGAGTTCGACGCACAAGAGCTAGCTGAAATATTGCTAGTTGATGGCTACTTCATACTCGAACTCTTTTTGAGAAACTCGGATATGAAGAAGTATATGGATAAAGTTGAGAAGGACCCCATTATCAACAATGCTTCGACTATTGCAACTCTTCCACATGATTTGGCACAACTTGAGAACCAGATTCCCTTCCCTATTCTACAGATTCTTTTTGACATTATAAAAAAGAATATGCCGCAACCATTACCATACTCATTTACGACAAGGAATAGCATGGTCAATTTAGCATTACTCTTTTTGAAATCGGCTTTGGGTTTGACTATGAGCAACAAAGCAGTTGAAAGAAAATCCGAGAACTTAACTAGTGACCATTTACTTGATATCTTGCACAATTTTTACATCCCCCCAACATTTGACAGAAGCCAGCATGGCAGGCAAAGAAGTGAATCCAGAAAGTGTGCTGGTGCTGCACGACTTTTGAAGGCAGGAATTCGACTTCATGTTGACACTAGTTCGGAAAATTTACTAGACATAAAGTTCAAAGAAGGAGTTGTTACAATGCCACCATTACACATACAGGAATCTATTACAAAATCAATCTTTCGAAATCTGATTGCTTTTGAGCAGTGCAACATTGGCACCTCACATTACATTGCACCATATGCATTGCTTATGAACGTCTCCTCAGTTCCTCGCGTGATGTAGAAATTTTCCAAATAAAAAAGATCATAATAAATGATTTTAGTGATGATGACATTGGCAGTGGCGGTGATGAAATGGTTACAACTCTCTTCAAATCCATGTGTGATGGAGTTGTTTTAAACGACTTTTGTTTTTACTGGTTGTGTAAAGAGATTAATGACTACCCCAAGGCTTGTTTGGACTTGCGCAGACTTAAGGCAAGAGTGATGGTCATATGTCATGAATATATGCTAGTCTTGGGAGCTAAATATTTCGTCCCTCCATGGACCACATTGTCGGTCATTGCTGCAGGCCTAGTTCTCAGCTTCACTGCCATGCAAACCTATTACTATGCCAGAACTTATTATCATCAATATTAAGTTCTTCTACTTCATACATGGTAGAGGTGATTTTGACCGCCAATAATACTAAGATTACCATCTCTCTCTTTTTTAACATTTTGTTTACTACGTGGTTACGTTAATATGAGTTGAATGCTAATGATATCCATTCTGGACTCATTATATTCAATTAGTGTAATCGTAATATTTAGGTTATGTTTGGTTCATAGATTTGAGAAAATTTTGAAAAAAGAAATTAAAAAGATGCACGAAATTAGGTGAAATGTAAGGTCTCGGTGTCCCACATCGGGAATGGAAGGGGAGTTCCTGGGCTATAAAAGTAAAAACCTAAACCCTTATATAGTATCAAGGCCTTTTCCTGAGTAGTGAAATCCTTAGCAGAACTCTACAATTTAGCGTGCTTAGGCTGGAGTAGTTCTGAGATGGGTGACCCACTGGAAAAAACAAATCCGTGCGAGCGTGGCCCAAAACGGACAATATCAACGACATGTGAAGGGTCGAGGCGTTACAAATGGTATCAGAGCCGACTCTCTGGAATACCGATTGTGGGCCCCTAGCGTCTCTCAGTGCATGTAGGCGGGCTTGTGAGCTGGCAGGCTACTGCGCGGGGACATGCAACCGTAAGAGAGGTGGATTGTAAGGTCTCAATATCCCACATCATGAATGGAGGCGGAGTTCCTGGGTTATAAAAGTAAAACCTAAACCCTTATACAGCATCAAGGCCTTTTCCTAAGTGGTGAAATTCCTAGCAGAACTCCACAGTTAAGCGTGCTTAGGTGGGATTAGTTTTGGGATGGGTGACCCACTAGGAAAAACAAATCCGTGCGGGTGTGATCCAAAGCGGACAATATCGATGACATGTGAAAGGTCGGGGCGTTACGTGAAATGTAAGTATATTTTATTCACATATCATCTATCTCCCCCCCCCAAAAAAAAAAAAAAAAAAAAAAAAAAAAAAAAAAAAACTCTTGCTAAATCCAAGAACTAAATCATATCCTTAATAAACAAAACACCAAAACAAGATATTATCATCTTAGCATTATTGTTTTGATCAAAGATCAATTTGATAAGCTGCAATTTTTAATTTCTTTAAAGTATGTTTTCAATTGTTTTAAGGGGGATGCACCAATAAATCCCAAATTAATAACTTATGCACTGTTTAGTCCTAAAAGTTTTCTTATAGACTGAAAGGTCCCATTACAATGTTAATAACATCAGATACAATGTTAATAACATCAGAGTCATGTTACAAACATTGGATTTCAAACATCTAATGTTCATCAAATTTCAATAATGTTTGAAAATATAGGAAGAAAAACATCTAATGTTCATCAGATTTCAATAAATTTTGAAATTATAGAATGAAACATCAGATCATTTACATCATTCACATCATGTTGATGTAAAAATGGGACTAAATGGAGCATAAGAAAACTTTTAAGACTAAATGGTTCAACGTTTCAAAAACTAGGACTTATGGGTAAATTTTCCTTCTTTTAATCAATAATGGGGTCCGTATTTTTTTATGTTTTTTTTAGAAGTGTACTTTTCACTACTTGGACTTTGTAAGGTGTGTTGAAAGTATTCAATAATTTAATAAGATTCTTACTTAAAATATTTTTCTTGATGATGCATGTGTGTATGAATGAATAAATTATGGGCGGAGCTACAACTATTGTAGTGGTGGCAATTGACACCATTGGAATTCCAAAATTGTAAATTGTTTAAAGGATATGTGGAATTTTATTCAAAAGTTTTAAATTTTAAAAAATTGAACCCAGGGAACTTAGGAAACAAAAATTACATCTAGAGTTTACAAATTGATTTAGTATAATTAAAAATAATAATCAAATCTATACAAAATTTCCAATCTGTCTCGAAGACCAACGATCTCCTGTCTCCAAATATTCCTGTTCTCTTGTCCCAAATTACTCACAATCATTGGATATGTCTTGAGATTATCATATGATCCAATGGTTGTGAGTGATTTGAGACAAGAGGATAGGAATATTTGGGGACAGGGGATCCTTGTTCCTCTTAGAAGGGAAATACTATTCAAACTAATAAATTTTACAAAATTTTCTTACTAATATATGTCATGCAATAGAGAATTTTGAATATTAAAAGGGCCACATCAGTGAGTTTTATTTTGTTTTATTTTATTTTATTTTATTTTATTTATGAGATATACTGGTTATTTTATTGAAGCGATGGTATTATTGTCCCAATATTTTTTTTTTTGTTTACAATTTGACTAGTTTAAATTAATTTTGTCGATGTAATTGGAAATATGTGAGACTTATAAATTTTTAAATGTTGATGGCTTATGTAAAGCTATAAATATAACATAACATGACATTAATGATAACTTGCTAAATGATTTCACTTATTAGAGTACCTGACTATGCGACTGCCCTCTCTCCCAACAACAGTGCTGGGGAGTGTTGATAACTTGCCAAACGAGGGCATGATGGGTTTTGTTGGACATACAATGATGGGAAGTGTTTGGATACGTAAGGTGTATATTATATGTATTTGTATAAATTCTTACAAATATAAATAAATTATTTTATAAAATTGCTTAAATTCTCACAAATATATCTAAGTTGTGATTTTTTAAATTTTTATGGATTAATTTACGTATATTTATAAAAATTTACATAATTATATAATATTTATATAAATTTATGAAAACTTATGCAAAAACATATAACATGCACTTATTCACTTATGAATTGCCCTACAAAGATATGGTAGAACCAAGTTTTGACACTGCGTTAGTTACGGCTTGAGATCACTTATCTCAATTTGCTGTACCAATCTTCTGTCCAATGCTCTGTTTTTTCTTTTTCGTTTTTACTACATCTTAGCAATCTATTTCTATAGGGAAAAAATAAATAAATAAATAATCTACAACTGTAAGGTTATGTCTGTATTTAACGAAATCACCATTAATACAAATAGATTATTTAAAGGAAGTGAAATTAATTATATTGAATCTTCAAAGTGGCGATAGGTCAAAAGAATTTTTGTGCAACAATTGGAGATGAGTAATCTACAGGTATATAATGGGAACCAAGAAGAGGAGAAAAACCCAGAAAAAGGGATTTAATATAATAGAAGAATAATGAAGAAATCTCTTTGAAGTGTTTAGATTTGAAGTCAACTTTTGCAAGGGTTTCGGCTGCTGCGGAGACTCCGATGATGGCGATGCAGTCGAAATCGTGCCAAGTGTGATAGATGTCCGTCGGGTTTATAATCAGAATGCAAATCAGAAATAACAATCCTGTGGTAGCGGAGCCAGAAAATTAAATTAGAGGGGCACTTATTAAGTACAATATCGAAAATTTGTACAAAAATATTTTACGCAAGTTTTTACGATTGATTTCGACAAATATCAAAAAAATAATGTTATTTATAACTAGTATATAATGAACAATATAAAAAAATATGGGCATAAGTTTTAAAATAAATTATAGGATAAATTATAAATACACCCTCTGAGGTTTAATTAAAATACGAATTGCTCCCTGTGATTTTGAAAATTACATTCCATCCCTTGAGGTTTCTAATTTCATAACAAATAGCTCATTTAATTAATGAATCATGAAGTCAATTAATAGTTTTTAATGATATTAGAAATATATTTCAATTAATAATTTAGGTAATTTTATTATGGTATAGAAGATCAATAATGAATTTTATTTTTTTAATTAATTCTGTTAAATAAAAAATACTAACAAAGAGGTATTGTAATTTTCCAAACAACAGGGGCAATTTATATTTTAAGCAAATCTCATAGGGTGTATTTGTAATTTATCCTAAATTATATAATAATAAATTATTTTTTCATACAAAATTTGAATAAAAATTTAATATAATGATAATATCACGTCATCATTAGTATGTGATACCACCAAATAATAGTAAATAAACACATAGAGAGTAAACCTCCATGTCAAATGTAACTAACAATCCAATAAATTTCATATTTTTATAGTGAGATTACTTATACTTGCATATCAATAATAATGACATCACCATTACATTCAAAATTTTTTATAAAGTTTTCATATATATTATGATTTATAATAGTCTTTTCATTTTCAATCAAAACAATCATTATTGTTCTCATAATTTTTAAAATGTCATTGATAATTCACTCTAATAATAATTTTATAATTTTTTTATTTAAATATTTTCTTTATATTTATTAATAAAAAATAAATAAATAAAAAAAAAAAATCCTAAAATCCAAGGGGGCACGTGACCCCTTGGTCCTCAAGTACCTCCGCCCCTGGGTGCAAGTCTAAATTTTTAATTTACACAAGATGATATGGCAACAACTAAATAACGGAACAAAAGATTGGTACATCAAATTGGGACAGGTGATCCCAAGCCCTAAGCTAAGACAGTTGTTGCTGGTTTAAAGTTTTTAGAGGAAGTATTTTTTTTATTTGAATAATTTGTACTATCTGTTTTCCATGTTGTTACAATTATTGTACAGAAATTGATAAAATTCACACATAAACGACTGTGTCCATCCAAAATGCTAATAATAATTGACAGGGGTCACATTGCAATACAATTGAAAGCGTGACTTGAATTGGTGTGAAACTAAAAACTAGGAAGACAAAATGAAATTTTGTCAAATTAAAAAAA